CGTGTAAGATACATATGTGGACCTAGGTCACCTACGGCTGGGTAAGGCCCTGCTAGTCGAAATAAAAAAAAAAAAAATATTCTATTATCTATATTAACAAAAGTCATATTAACAAATAGCAAAAAATTGGAGAGATAAATAATAAGTTGATATGGTGGTTTCTTTGAAATTATAATTTTTATTTTATAAATTTTATAATTTGTTTAATTTAGTTTTAGTTTTAATAACTTTTATTTTTTTTTACTTTCATTTTCTTTTATATCTTTTTAAATAATTTTAAGTTGATATGTATAGCTACTATTATACATGTTGTTTAAATTATTTTGCTATTAATTCATTATCAAAATTTTTAAAAATAATTGTGTCTAACTTAATTATTTTATATGTTTTATTAGTAACTTAATTAATTGTATCAAGGATTTATAAATTTTTATTACATATATAGCTATTATTTAATTATATCTAGTATATTAATATTGGTTTAAAAAATTTATTTTCAATATTAATTAAATATAAATTGTATAGGCAAGTTAAAATTTAACTTACTACTATTGTATATAAAAAATATTACTTTTACAATGTATACTATATTATATATACAAAGTAAATAAAGAAATATTGTTTATTTATCATAAAAAAATACAAAAAAAATAAATTATATAAATATAAATTTTAATAAAATTTAAAATTATATTAATTTTAATTTGATAATAAATTAAAAATTGAATATTTAAAACTAATATATATCTTATTTCTATTTTATTATCAAAAGTTCTTAAAAGTACTTAATAGACAAAACCAATCATTATTTTTAATTTTGTATAAAAATAATTTATAAAATTAATATTATAAGTAATATTATAAAATATTATTTTTGATTTTTCAATAGTTATAATAAAATAATTGATTTTAAACCAATATAATATCTATTTAATATAAACTTCTAAAGTTATAGTATTACCTTCTACTTTAGTATAAAATATATTTGATACTAAATCTGTTGATTATTCATCAAATATTAATCAATTTTTATTAAAACAGTATATGCTAATATTAATAATATGACAATTGAATTATTGTTAATTAAAACTATATTTTTATCTAAAAAGCTTTGTCTTTAAACTAGATAATATTAATAGTATACAATAATTGTTTAATAGTATAAAGATTAACCAAGTTAATATTATTGCTAATATTTTACAATTTCTAATTTTTATTTTTAAGATTGGTTTTATATTAATCTTTTGTATTATTTCTTAAACAAGTTTTAAAAATTTATAAATTTTTATTCTGGTTCAAGTATCTGCAAGTAAATAAAGTTTAAATATTTCATAATATTGTCTAAAATTTTTAATTTATTTTTTAAAATTTTTTTTTGGCTTTTTTATAAAATAAAAATAAAGTATATTCTACTATTTTTCTATATTAATTATTTTAAAGTACAAAAATTTATTAATTTAAATTTAAAATTAATTGTTGTAAATTATAATTTTTATTTTTATATTTAATATAACTTGTTTTTTAATTTTTGAATTTATTGTAATGTCTATTAAAAAGCTGATTTTAATTATATTTTAATAATTCTTTATTATTTTGATATTATTATAGTTTTGTTTTAAATAATAAATAAATGCTAAAATAATTTCAAAGAGTATACTTAAGTTTATACTAATTTTCATATACTAAGCTAGCATTATATCACAAATATTTATATATATTATATTTTTGTTATAATTCTTTATTATATTTTTGTTATCTTTAAAGTTTAAAATTAAGTATAAGTTTATTAACTAATAAAGTATTAATATGTATAATTCTTTTCGAGGTGAACAGGGATTTTTCAATTACTATAATTGTAATTCTAAAATTTATATTATATATGTATTGTTTAAAAGTAGAAACCAAAAAAATAATATCTAGTATTTTTGTTGCCTTCAAAAATAATTACCCATATATATATGTATTTTTTTTTAATTATTAGTAATTTCTTACCAGTAATAATGTTTCACTTTTTTATTATTATAAGCTATAATTATTAAGGCAATATCATTTTGAAAATTATTTTGTTTATTTAAAATAATATATATTATACTATAATTATATTATTTGTGTATTTTGATTATTTTGTTAATTTGTAATATTATTATTATTTAAATCCTAATTTATTCTTTTATAATTAATAATATTTAAAGTACCATATATACTTTGAACAATATTGATTAAATTGATTAATAGTACTATATATTATTTTTCTTAAAATAATTTTTAAGCCAATCTAACTTCTTTTATATTAATAAAGAAATTTTTATACCATATATGTATTTTTCTTTTCTGAATTATATAAATTTGGAAAACTTCTTTGAGAAGAAATAACTTTGAATTTATATTTAGATTTGATTTTACTTTTATGATTTTTATAAATATTTTTCTATATTATTAATATATAATATTTTATTTTGAATATCCTTTAGCTTGATATAAGCTTTTTTTAGAGGTCAATATCTCTAATATTAACTCTACTTTTTTTTCTTAAAGAATTTTCAAGATATTCTAATTCTTTTTTAAGAAAATGGATTTCTTTATCACATTTAATATATTTATGCTCTAATTTATTTATGAATTTCTTATTGAATCTATTGATTGAAACTTTATCAAATAATTTATCTCTCAAAGCTTAATCTACCTCTTCAGTTCCAATTTCTGATTAGATGCTAGCCCACAAGATATTTGATTGGAATGTTGTCAAAAAAATATTATAACTATTTTTATTATAGCAAAATATATTAATGTAAAGAAAAGGCATAGTCAAAATAAGTATACCTATTATATACATAAAACTATATGCTGAGGTATCTATAGTTTGTCATATACTTTATTATAATATTCCCGGGTTTTATTTAAATATGCAATAGTGTTAATGACAAGAATAGTTTATAAGTTTGGAATGTGATCGAAAAAATATACAATGATCTCAAAAATCCTCTCAAATGGTTAGCATTGTTGATAATATATGGTGCAGGGGTTCAAAGAAGCATTCTTTTGAGGGATGAAATGTTATAATGTTTCTATAAGAATTGTTGATCTTTACAGTTTTGAAAGTTTAGCATTGGTTAAAAAATTCAAGCAGGATTGGCAAGATAGATAGATATAATTCAATATGCCATAGAGGGCAAATACAGAGGTGAATATTCTAAATTATGAAATAAGATACTTCAGAAAATTATCAACTTATATAAATAATAATAAAACGCGATTAATAGGCATGTCTTCATCATATGTGATGACATTGCTTCGTATTACCTTTACACTTTTTCCATCTTCATGATCTAGTTTACATATTGAGCATAATGAACCCTCAAAAATTTCATAACGATCAAATTTTTCAGAAATAATACTTTAAATATATCAGAATATCGCAACAATGTCTTATTATGAAAGTAAACATGGTCATGAGTTGGATTTGATGATGCACTTCGGTTGATTCCTCTGAAATCGTTTCTGATGATTTTTCCGGTAATAACTTCTCGGAAAATGCACTTACCTCAGTTTCTAGTAAAGTACTTACAATTTCGGTTGTATGATTTTGCGACGGGCCGTCGTCGAAAGCTCCACTCATGTGATTTTCTATATTAGACTCATTATAATCAGAAATATTATCGATAATCTTTTGGATTGATCGTTTGTCAATTATGAAATAGAATTTGCATTGTATGCTTTAAAATACTTAATTTTATCAATGCCTATTTTTTCGAATAATTTATGAGTCTTTATAGCCCTTGGGTTTTTCTACACAAAGTTTTACGCGAGATTTCTGGGAGCTGTAATCCCATTTTCCTTGGATCCTTTTTCACAGATGATAGTAAGGTGCTCTAATATTTTATCATAATTATAACTTTTGCCTTTTTCTCGCCAATTTTGCCATTATTGTTTTTTATAAGATCATTATATTGAATTACGATTTCTTTTCCATAGTTAATCCAGCATAAGATTTCTACCTGGTTAGTTTTTGCAGCATAATATTCAGCATTTGTTGCTTTATCAAATAACTGTGCCAAGTCGAGTAATGAGATTGTATCAGAGTTTTGATTAAGGACCGTCGCTGAAATTTCAGTCACATGATTTGAGGAAGCAAAGCTTCGAGACTCATCTGAAATAATATTATCCTGAATGCCATCAGCTATCACCTGAACAATATTCTCTGTTCCCTTTTTCTTGTGCGATTGGGATGTTTTGTCCAGGTTTTTACTTTGATTCTGATCCCAAAGCTTTTCCAGTTTTCGAGTCCAGAGATTCAGGTGTTGACATGGTTGATGACTCTGATCGTATCGGTAGCGATAAACAATTCTTAAGCCTTACAGATACTCACATTGACTCGAAAGTTTCTAGAATTAAATCTTCTTGATCATCGTCAAGATCCTTTTGCCATTTTCTCAATAATGGCTTGCATTTTCTAAAATCTTCACTTGCAGTCTATTTAATAAATACATTATTATGTATTAAGACCCTATCAGAAAAACCATACCTGTGCCATTTTATGACACCGTAAAACATCATCATTCGATAAATGATATGGAGCAAATTCATTTTTGATAGT